CATTAATTTGATAAACATTGTAAGTCTATACAAGTGGTATTATACTGATATGGTTAGGGGGAGGGGGAGGGGGGGCATGCAACTAAACATTAATTTGATAAACATTGTAAGTCTATACAAGTGGTATTATACTAATGTGGTTAGGGGGAGAGGGACATGTAATACTGCTTTATAGCAAGTCTTTGAACTCTTTATAGAAGATGGCAAAACATTTGATAAACATTATACTACTCTTCACAGTAGTCCAAGACAGTTGGGATTTTTTTATTGACATCTGTTATGTTAACCACAAGTGCATTTCAAATAGCGCAGCACACTGATTCTAAAAATAGCTTAAAGATTCGGACAAACATTGCATTCTGTTTAACCGCTACTAGGATTATACAAACCGATTTTATTATTTTTACTTAAAGTTACAATAATAACCCATGTAAACTAAGATCAACTGCGATCGGCTGTGAAAATTATCTGCTTAAAGTAAACTTGTAAGTTTTTTTGTCTGAATTTTACCTTTGTCTTCGCTTTTATTATGTCATGGTTGTACTGCGCTATTGACCACATGATACCAACGTTATACCACGTGGACAAGTTTTTTTATGTGCCTGAAATGATTTGATTCCATTTCTTAGCTTAGCTATCATTAGTCCAGTCTCCTTTACTGCTCAACTTTTGTTTTTGGGCTTTCTGTGCCTCGACACAGGAAGACCAAAACAAAAGCGGAGTGGTAAAAGAGAGGGTAAAGGGTCTGGACTAAGCTATCATATGAATACTGTAACATTTTAAAATTAAAATATCTTCAAACAGAATAATTTATTTGGCAGAGTAAGGTATACATCTCATAAGCATATTAGCTAGCCAATTAGAATTCCTCACCCTAGTTATTGGAAAACATTCTGTTATCAATTTATGAATATTTAATGAGGAATAACAACAGAAATCAGTCACCCAGGAGAAGTCTGTAAATCGGATGCAGCATTGTTTGCATTTTTTATTTTTTATAAATTTCACCATAGCAAAATTTGCTTTACAATAATTTATTGTATCTATTTTCCATTATATAGTGGCAGAATTATCAAAACTGTATAAATTTCACCATAGCAAAATTTGCTTTACAATAATTTATTGT